TTCTGTGCATTGTTCCTAGTCTTCTCAACACCCTGAGGTGGGCAGTGTGGAGACAGAGCCTTGCTAAGTTGCTTAGGGCTCCACTATGTTGCTGAGGCTGGCTTCAAACTTGCAGTCCTCCTCCCTCAGCTTCCCGAGTCTCTGGGGTTATGTAGGTGAGTGCACCCAGTCGGGCCCAGTTTCTCATTGCTGTGTGGCTCTGGGCAGCGCCACCTCCAGGACGTGGAGGCAGCACTGCAGCACTGCCCACCTCAGGGTGTTGAGAAGACTAGGAACAATGCACAGAAAGCCCTTGCGCACAGGTTTGCAGAGGGCAGGAAGGTTATGCCAATAGCTGGTGCCCTAAGCAACTTAGCAAGGCACTGTCTCAAAAAAAAGGGGGGGCAGGGGTGTCTCATTAATTTTAGAAGTTATCAGCTTAATTACAATGATTAACACAAAACCACCTGTTGTAACTTCTGACGTCCCCTGGCCTGGTGGGCCAAGCACTTTGCAAAGCACTGAGACCTGTCATGTAACCTGCAGGACCACCGCCATTAGCATCCCCATTTTCCAGATGAGAAAACTAAGGCCCCAAAGAGGTTAAATTTCTTGTTCAAGACTTCCCAGTCAGCAAGTGGCAAAGGGGGATGAGAAATATAGTTTTGGGTTTTTTTTTTTGTTTGTTTTGTTTTGTTTTTGGTACTTGGGATTGAACCCAGGGGCACTTGACCACTGAGCCACATCCCCAGCCCTATTTTGTACTTTATTTAGAGACAGGGTCTCACTGAATTGCTTAGTACCTTGCTTTTGCTGAAGCTGGCTTTGAACTCAAGATCCTCCTCCCTCAGCCTCCTGAGCCACTGGGATTACAGGTGTGAGAGATGTTTTTGAGTGTCCACTCACAGAGACAGAAACCTCCCAGACTCTCTCCAGGCATCTATAGCCCTTAAATGTACATTCAGAAACTTCTACTCAGAGCCAGTGACCCACCCCACCCAATCCTCCCCAAAGTTCAACCCAGGCACCTTCCCTGTCTCTCTCCACTCACTCAGGTGCACCTGCCCCTCAGGGACAGCAGTCTGGGTTCTTCACTGTAGCTGTCCCACAATCTCCTCCTCCAGCAGAGGTGACACCCCTCCCCCATCCGCCCCTGCCCCCTGCCGGAGCTCAATGATATCCGAGAACGCTGACCCAGCAGCTCAAGGATTCCACTGGTCTTTTTGGAATGTGGGGACGTGCATGCGTCTTCTACCCCGTTGCCCAGGGCAGTGCCAGCCACCATAGGGGGCAGCTGGGCACAGCAGTATGGGGCTCTGAGGCTGTGACCCCAGAAAGGGAAGGATTTGGGATGAGCAGGGTAAGGAGAGATGCCTCCACAGGCCTTGGCCACAGAACTGGTGTCCAGCTGGACCATGGACCCTGCCCTTCACCTTGCCACATCTCCTCCCCTGCACAGCTCCCAGCCCAGTACTGAACCACAGGAAGGGGTGGGATGGATGAAGTTTACGTCACCTCTGGAATCTCCCAATGCCAGGCTCTAATTCTGTTTTCCAGAGCTCAGGAACAGAGAAGAATAAGAGGGTAGTAGAAGGTGACCAGAGGGTCCTGGTCACCCCATGCTGGGTTATACTGTGTCCACTAGTGAGGCCAATCTTCCCAGAGGCCCCTTGAGGTACCCATTATTTTCTTCTATGTGACAGTTAGGAAACCCAGCCTGACTGGTGAGTGGTCACTGGCTCAAGGTTACACACAGGATGCCCAGGGAGCTGGGACCGTAACACGGGTCTGCCTGACTCATTGGTGTTACTCAAAATACTAGAGGCCTACAGCACCATCCCTGGATGGAGCCTGGAGCTTGTCTGGAATTCAGATTCCCAGGTTTGGTTGGGCCCAGGCTGCTGAATTAGATTCTCCAGGGGAGGGGCCAGGAATCCATGTTTTAGAAACTCCAGGTAATACTTAAGCAGTTTAAAATTTGAGACTTGCTGTG